TGAAATATCGCGATATTTCAGTGTATCGATATTTTCTTACACCCCTATTTTTGACACAATAAACAAATAACTTTAAAACACGGGTTCTGCAAATAAAATCAGACATTTGTAAACAATTACAAATCAGCATTTCTTTGAAAAAGGTTTAAAATATTTGATTTTTTTACATCATTTTAGTTTTTAACTTTTTTAATGTTGCTACTATCAGTGCACTGTAAAATAAATAAATCATTTTAATTCAAAGTGTGACAGAGTTGTGACATTTTACTGCACTTTAAATCAAATAAAGTCAGACTCTACCAGCTTTAAACACAACAGAGCTGTGGAAAAACGGTGGAAAAAAAATCCCGCATTTCAAATTTACAGCAGAGAAAAAGAGCCTGGAGGAGATCCTAGAGCGGAAAGGAGGTTTTTCTGCCAACAAGCCAGGAGCAAAAAACACAAAAACATGTTCTGATCGTGGGAAACCCACACCAACCCAACAGGTACAACTGTTCATAAAACACACACTGCTGCTTTTTACAGGCGTTTCCACTGCAGCGTTTGTTCATGAATTATTAACTGGTGTTTGCTCATGGTGTCTATTCACCCTCTGGTTTCCAAATTAACAGTAAAAAACTCTGCAGTGAGTTTAAATATAGAACACAAACACTGGTTTGTTTTCTGAGCCTGGGGTTTTTTTCTTCAACAGAGTGTGAAAAAAGTCACACCCAGCAAAGAAAAACAAGCACATTTTTTATATTCCCTGCTGAAAACAGGCTTTAAATGTCAGACCCTGCCCCTCTGCGCACWCAGAAATCTGATTTTAATCTCAAAGTTTAATAGGAGTCGTCGTATTTAAATGCACTTTGGTTATAAAATCATAATTTTTCTTTGTTTTGTTTCTRAAAACAGAACATTTTGCTCAGTTTGTGTTTGGATCCGTTTCAAGCAGTGACTCTGTTTTCAGTCTCGTTCTTTAGCTCGTTTTGCTGACAGAGAACTGAAGCTGCATTTTTTTTTTCGTTCTGGATCAATTATTCCTTACATMAAACCTTTGGCTGCTGCCTCGCTCGCTGCCTCTGCAAAAATTCAGCCCGACAGAAGCAGAAAGCTTCACGTGAGCATCAGGCCCTGAGAGCTGCTGTTAGGATTTTCTGGAAATTGTTTTAGCAAAAAAAAAAAAAAAAAAAAAAAAAAAAAACTCTGCAGGTTTATTTAACCCTAAGATGCTTTTCTGGGGAAAAAGTCAGTCAAAAAACACAACTATAATCGTCAAAATTTGTCAGAATCGTTACAAATGGACTCCCTTTATCGCCCCCTAGAGTCCCTGTTGTGAAAAACCGACCATATTGAAATCCATTATTAACGCATTTTTTTCATTCGATGTTTGTCATAAAATAAATCACTTCTTCCAAACAGTCTTCCAAAACCTCCAGACTGGAATTAAATCATTTAAAAAACATCTTTTTTGGACATCCTTAAGAGGAAATCGTGCCTTTTTTTTAAATACAGCCACAAAATAAATCGATTTTTAAACTAAAAAAAGTTCGTGAAGTTAAAAAAATGTCAATTTTTTCAAAACAAAGAGTGTTTTTATTTTAAGAAGTGTGTTCTAGTTTTGTTTTGTTAAGCTAATTTTACTTTTCAGCTATGATTTTGCTAGCTTAAGCTTCACCTAGCCTAGCTTTAGCTCGTTGTTTTGCAAAGGTTTCAATAATTTAATTTTTAGCTGTAGTTTTATTCATTTCWGTCTGTAGCAACTGTATTGCTTATTTTACCGTTGTAGTTAATGTTTTGCTAATTTTAGCATTTAGCCACTGTTTGGTTAACKTTAGGATTTATCAGCAAATTTGTTCATTTTATTTTTAGCAGCTGTATTGYTGTTTATAGCTACACTTTTTTGCTCCTTTTAGCTTTGAATCACTGTTTGATTGAATTTACCATTTATCCAAATTTTAATTTTAGCTTTTAGCCACTGTTTAGCATTTAGCCACAAATTTATTCATTTTAATAGCTGCATTGCTGTTTGTAGCTTTTAGCTAAAGTTTTAACTTTAACGGTAGTTTTTTGTTTCTTCAACAAATCTTCTTTAACTCATTGAATTTTCTCAATTTTTATCAATTATTTAACATTTTTTCAGCCAATAAATGTTATGGTTTGTATGTGATAAAAAATGATTTTATTTTTGATGGATTTGATCAGATTTATGAAGAACAGCTCAGGGGAAATAAGCAAATGAAGCAAAATCTTAGAAAAAACACTGAATAATAAATAAAAATAATTATTTTTGTGCAAAAAAGAGCAAAGTTTAACTTCCTGCAGACAGAGGTCAAATCAAACTAAAAAAGTATCAAATTAAGTTTTCTGATTTCAGATCAGGCGACTCTGAGCTTCACTTCTACAGGAAAGGTTCAGATTTCCTGCCTGAGTTTATAAATCTCCTTGAATTGTTGGTGAGATATTTTGCTAACAGACAACAAGGAATAAACTGACTTCCTTCCTGAAACAAACATTTGTCTTCAAACTTTCTATTTTTTTTCAGCGACTGGTTCAAACCTGTCTGGTTTCTGGTTTGGTGGGTCAGGAACTGGAGGTTCTGGTCATGTTCTGGTCCGAGGCTCAGTTTCTCCGGCTCCACTCTGCTTCTCGAGGAGGAAGGTAGTTTCTGTGAAGCTGCTTCGGAGCTGCCAGGGTCTGGAGTCGACCCGATCCTGTGGCTCTGAGCGCCGCCGGCGACACCTGAAGGAAAACATTTACGGGTTTTAGCGGAAGGAACGACCATCGCCCACCCTCAACGTCTGTGTTGAAGATGACTCTCAGATACTTCCACAACAAGCTTTTAGCTCAACATCTGCAGAGTCGACTGACTTATAAACATATTTGTGATTTTTCTTTCCTCTTTAGGCTGTTCCTGTTTAGGTTACGGCAATATCTGTAGAACTAAATTGGGGCCATGAGATTTTTTCTACATAAAAAACTAAAACCAAATGATTTGAAACTGAAAAATAATATATTGTATATTCATTACTTATATGACACAATGCCCTGCCAAACAGCTTTTTCATACAAACTTGCTATATTTTTTAATTATATGACACAACTACCTACCATACTTTTTAAATTATATAAGTACAACATGACATTTTTAATTATATGATAAAATGACCTGTCATTTTTAAAATTATGACGAGTTGCCATACTTTATTGTATATATTATACAACAGCCTGCCATACAGAAAATCATATTATACAATGACATTTTTTAATTATGACACAACAGCCTGCCATACTGCATTCATTAGATGATACAATCTGTCATATTTTTTAAATACTACGACAAAACGGCTTGCCATATAGTTTAATTATACAATACAACAACCTGCCATACAAAAAATTATTTGATACAAGTAGCTTTAAAATTTTTCTAAGTTTAAAGTCTTTTTTGTTGATTCGATTTTTTTTTTTCAGTTTCAAATTTTTTATTTTTGAACAAACTTTTTTGCCCCAAATTAGCCCCAAAGTTCTATCTCACAGTGAAAAAAAGAAGTGGATCTAAAACTGTGCCTTGTGGGACACCACACAAAACAAAGAGGATCTGTTAAACTTTTCTTACGGCCCAGATGGGTTCCTCGAGGCGTCCCAGCGGGCAGCAGACGTTGCTTTCCCTCAGTTTGGGTCGAGACAACCGGACCAGTCTCTGAGAGGCGCTGGCGGTTCTGGAGGCTAAGGAGACGACGGACGCGGCGCTCTGAGTGAACATCAGAAGAAGTTTAGCTCGTCGAAGAGTTCGGCTCGCAGGTGAGGAAGAGGAGAACCACTAACCCTACAGCAGGTCCTCACCTCCTTGTTGTTCTGGTGGTCCGGGTGGGTTCGCTTGGGTTCTGAGAGCTGCAGCAGTCTGGGAGTGATGACGGCGTTCTTCAYCCTGGGGTCGACGTGCCAGATGGGACAAATCCTCTCACAGAAAGACGTGTGAGGACGCCTGAGGGACAAACAGGAAGTAAATCTGGGACACTTCCTGTTTGGGTTCATTTCTTTACCTTCTATATTTTCCAGTGGTGGACGCAGCTAACCACTAATCCACTAAACAAGAATCAAAGCTCCAATAGTACTAAACCACTAATGCTAAACCACTAAACAGATCGAAAAATTACAAAAAGCTAATGCTAACCGCTAAGACAACTAGCCTGACTAATGCAAACCTGTTAGTTCTCTGATGGTTGAAGTTGTGGGCGTGATCAGCTGTGGCAAATTGACCAATCCAAACCAGAGTTGTAGCTCTGTCTAACTTGTTATACGTTTAGTTCACACTTTCAAAATAAAAGCATTTTGTTGATCAAATTTGTACTTTTATAAATACCGTCTGAAGTTAGTCAAACAAAAAATTGCAGATATTTTCTCTTCCATATCTTATACACAACAATTTTATGTTAAGTTATTTTATTTCTTTTTTGACGTTTTTAGTTTAAAGTTAGGCTGCTAACGATGCTAGATGCTAACACACACGGTGCCCGACTCATCCAGCACTGCTTGTAAGAGGGGATAGTTAAACAGCACAAAAATATAAGTTTTATATTTCTGAATATTTTTAGTGGACTTATAATTAGTAGGAGCCAGTCTGCTAAAAGTTTCTAAAGTTAGCAAAAGCGCTAATCCGCTAAATGAGAAGCTAGTTCCGCTATTAGAGGATTAGCGTAACTGTTCCCATCACTCTTAAGTTTCTTTATGTAAAAAAAAGGCTATTTACAAAATATTACAAAATAGGTGTTTGTGTTTAGAAGTTTCTATGCAAAAATTTTAATCAAAAGATCAATAAAAACACGAAAACTGAGAAAAACATGCAGATTTACAAATACTTTTACTGTCAGAGGATGAGAAATTTCAAACGTGATTTAGTTTCTATAAAATCCTTAAAAGGAGCTCAATTGTCTGAAGATGTCMATCACAACCAACTGCAAACTCAAAAATAGCTACAACTCTGTGGATTTTACAGARAAAAAAGCTAAAATTCTGCGTGGTAGTAGCTGAAATTCAAACACTGAGTATATTTTGTAAATATCAACACTTTTGACTCTTTACGGTTTTTTAGTTTCAGGGTTTGTTTTTATTTTCATCCACTTCTTCGCTCCGTTCGCCTCCTCTCAGCTGCAGATAAACAGGATCTATAAAAAGACTTCCGCGGTCGTCCACCAGCGTCCCGGGGGTCCTGAACTTTGGACAATGAGCTCTATTGTCTCGGTTCCCGCAGTCTGACTCGGAAATAACAAATGTCYAAAACGCCACCATCCCCTCTGACTGAGCGGAGGTTTTTTATTTTTAAATTTAAAATCTGGTTCCAGATTTAAATCGTTTTAAGACATTCTGARGTCGTTAACGGTGCTATCTGTGACAGATAACATACTGACTACCCCACGTCCACTCAGGACGTCTCTAATCTGGATTAGTGACGTCCGTCAGGTGATTCGTTTACATGATTACCCATCTTCCTGAGGGCCGCAGCTCCTGGGTCTGGGCGTCGACAAACGCAGAATGTTTTCATACTCAGACGTCTTGGAGGAAGGATGCCGGGTCTTCCTGAAGACGCTCACCTCCTCCTCCTCCTCCTCCTCCTCCTCCTCCTTCCTGCAGGAGAATAGAAGCTGTTACATCGTTTGTTACACGAGACAAAAGATCTTCATGATCCTTGTGGAAGGTGGAAGAGAAACAAATAGAATGTCAGTCTTCAGATTAAAGATGCTGGTAAATTAAAAATATCATTAAATAAAATGAACTTTGATCTTTTTATAACAAGTTAAACTTTTAGCTTGGGTTTACTCCTTTTATCTAGCATTTTGGTATCTTGACTTTTAGCTAGCCTTCTGCCTGTTTTGCTTTTTTATCAAAAGTTTTGCTCGTTTACCTCTCAGATTTTATCTAGCATTTAGCTTTATTTCTTCTTTTGGCTAGCCTGTTGCATTAGATTAGCATGAAGCTAGTAAGCTTACTTTTCTGATTTTAGCTTCAGCCTTTTTTTTTTACCTTTAAGCTTATTTTTATCCTTTTAGCTAGTATTCTGCTTCTTTCAGCTAGTTTTCTATTTTGTAATAATTAATTTACCACTTTAGACTATTTGCTAACCTTTTACCTCCTTTAGCTTTTAGCTAGCGTTTGCTCTTTATCTAGCATTTTGGTATTTTGACTTTTAGCTAGCCTTTTGCTTATTTTAGCTGTTTTTCTTTTTAGCTAGTGATACACAATTTTAGATGGACACAGCTATCTTTATAGCTAATGTCCCATTTCTTTTAGCTAGCATTTTTGCTTTATTTCTTTTTATATAGCCTTTTGATTTTATTAGCTTTAAGCTGATTTTCCTCCTTATAATTAGTAATATGCTGCTTCTTTTAGCTAGTTTTCTTTTTTATTTAAGCTAACAGTTAATACTTCAGACTTTTAGCGTTTAACCTTTATCTTTCAGCTAGCATTAGTGTTGATGTTTTTCCAGTGTTGTTTATATTTTTTATTAAAAGACTCAAATTGTTTTTGGATTTTAAAACTACAATCACACCAGAGGAAACAGATTATTAATCAGATTTTGAGCAGATTATATATTTTGAAATCAGCTGAACTTCTGTTCTGACCCGTTTGGGTTCTGAATGAATCAGGAAAACAAAAACAGACTGAACTCCGCCTCAGAGTGAGGGTCTCAGGAGACCAGCTACAGTTGGCTTCGGTCCTGAACCTCACTTTGGACCAGAGTTCTGCTCGCTGATGAACCGGACCATAAAACCTGCGGAGGTCCATTTAGAGCAGAAACTCAAACAGGTCATGAATAATTCTGCAGGTCCATTTACCCTCGCTGCTCCTCCCCTGCTGAGAAGTCTCTTTTGTGCCGGGACAGGTACTGGATCCTGGGACTTGGACTGGTTCTGAGCGCTGAACAGGAGATGGGTCGGATCGGATCCTGGTTTCCCCAAATGATCTGCTCACTGAAGGAAAAAAAAAAACAGTTCAAAGAAGAGACAAAATACTTTATAAAAAACACAATGATCAAACAAAAAATAAGACAGTACTGATACCCACCAGTACATACCTGGTACCTACCATTACGTATCTGGTACACATCAGTACCTACCATTATGTACCTGACACCTACGAGTACCTACCATTACGTACTTGATATATACCATTAGGTATCTGGCACACCTCAGTACCTACCATTACATACTTGGTACCTACCAGTACCTACCATTACGTACCTGGTACCCACAAGTAGGTATTATGTACCTGGTACCTACCAGTAACAACCATTACTTATCTGGTACACCTCAGTACCTACCATTACATACCTGGTACCTACGAGTACTTACCATTATGTACTTGATGTATACCAGTGCCAACCATTGCGTACCTGGCACCTACCTTTATGTACATGGTACCTATCAGTACATATCTAGTACATACCAGTACCTACCGTTATGTACCTGGTACCTACCAGTAAAAACCATTACTTATCTGGTACACCTCGGTGCCTACCATTACATACCTGGTACCTACGAGTACTTACAATTATGTACTTGATATATACCAGTGCCTACCATTACGTACCTGGTACATATCATTAGGTATCTGGTACACCTCAGTACCTACCATTACATACTTGGTACCTACATTACATACCTGGTACCAACAAGTAGGTATTATGTACCTGGTACCTACCACTAACAACCATTACTTATCTGGTACACCTCGGTGCCTACCATTACATACCTGGTACCTACAAGTACCTAATACATAACATTACATATCTGGTAACAACAAGTATGCAGCAGGTACCTACCATTATATACATGGTACCTACCTACCGTTTTGTACATGGTGCCTACAAGTACATATCTAGTACATACCAGTACCTACCGTTATGTACCTGGTACCTAGTTATACACATGGTACCTACAAGTACATACATGTAAGCATATGATACATACAAGTACACACTTTTCTGTGGATCTACTCACCAAGGAGTCGTGGCCCAAACAGTTTTTGATGTTTTATGCCGGGCCAGAACCAAGATTCTGAAAATAAAATAAAAAAAAACACATGATGACGCACCAGAAATCCCCGAGGACTCAGATTATTTTAGCTGTTTTCTTGTAAAGTGTTTTCTTCATAGTTCCTCTGGACACGATTAATTCAATAACATTTAGGAACCAAAGAACCGGACCTCTCTGAGGGACCGAACCCGGGTCGAACTCCTGCAAAAACCAAGAGAAGCAGTCAGAAACACGAGACACCAAACACCTAAAACAAGTAAAGAAATGATTAAATTCACCTCGTTGTCCAGACATCATCTCACCTGCCGGCCGGGCCGCAACCACCTGCTGCTCCACACCTGAGGACTCCTCGAAACCGGAGTTGGGTCGGATCAAACCACCCGTCTGACCAACTCAAGGATGTTGAAAATTTAAACACCAGGAGCTGCGTTTAAAGTCACATTTCTACAATTTAATCACCGGGAGCTGCGTTTAGAGTCACATTTCCAGTGTTTTTATCTGAACATKGAAGACATTTAAATAAATAAAACACAAGAAAAACACATAAATCCATGAAAAGGTTTATTTAAGAGCAGAAAAAGGAATGTTGTGCAAAGTAAACTGCAAAAATGTAACCAAAATAAAATTCAAGTTAGAATCTCATACATGTCGACCTCTTCGGACGTTCACCTGTATAAAAAGCCTCAAAAATCCGGAAATTTTGCAAAAACATCCGTACAACTCGCACCCGTGTGTGTGTGTGTGTGTGTGTGTGTGTTGGGGGGGCTGCCGGCCGCGGAGATGACAGCACCTGCTGCGAAGCTGGAGGAAAGAAGAGCGGAAAAAGTTCAAAACTTATTTCTAGCAGCAGAAAAGGTTGGTAGATGGCTATTTGATGTTTTTGTTTTTTAAATCATCCTACAGGCTCTGACAGGTTAGATAAATTAGAAAATGAGGTTTTGAAAAAATCCGGAAGACTTGAAAAAATTCGTATGATTGCTCTATACAGTATGTCCGTATACCTGTAAAATGACATAAAATCCTTATAACTTACAATGTATACAAG